TTAAGAGAGCCTTCTATTTGCCCAGGGGGCCTCCTATTCGTACAGAGGGCCTCTAGCTCCTACTTGTCCATGGGGCCTCCTATTTGTTCAAGAGGCCCCCTATTTGTACAAGGGGCCTCCTATTTGTTCAGGGGGCCTCCTAGTTGTCCAAGGGGCCTCCTACGTGTTCAGGGGACCTCCTATTTGTCCAGGGGGCCTCCTATTGGTTAAAGTAGCCTTCTATTTTCCAAGCGGCCACCTATTTATCCAGAGGGCTCCTATTGGTTAAAGTAGCCTTCTATTTTCCAAGCGGCCACCTATTTATCCAGAGGGCTCCTATTTTTAGGGGCCTCCTCTTTATCCAGGGTGCCTCCTATTTATCCAGGGTGCCTCCTATTTATCCAGGGGCCTTTTATTCATCCAGGGGGCCTCCTATTTGTCCAGGGGGCCTCCTAATTGTCCAAGAGGTCTCCTTTGTGAAAGGGGCCTCCTATTTGTCCTGGGGCTCCTAATTGTCCAGGGGGCCTCTTTTTGTGAAAGGGGCCTCCTGTTTGTCTAGGTCTTGGGCCTCCTATTTGTACAGAGGGCCTCCTACTTGCCCATGGGGCCTCCTATTTGTTCAGGGGGCTTCTTATTTGTACAGAGGGCCTCCTATTTGTCTAGGGGCCTCTTATTTGTCTAGGGGCCTCTTATTTGTCCAGGGCCTCCTATTTGTCCAGAAGGCCTCCTGCTTGTCCAGAGAGCCTCCTATTTCTCCAGAGGGCCTCCTATTTATCCAGGGGGCCTCCTGTTTTCCGGGGGGCCTCCTACTTGTTCAGGGGGCCTCCGACTTGTTCAGGGGGCCTCCTATTTGTCCAGGGGGCCTCCCATTTGTCCAACAGGACCTGCGATTTGTCCAGGGGGCCTCCCATTTGTCCAACAGGACCTGCGATTTGTCCAAGGGACCTCCTATTTATACAGAGAACCTTCTATATGAACATCGGACCTCCATTTGTAAAGTAGCTGGGGCGTCTCGGGGGCCTCCACTATTGGGGTCCCAAAATGACAATTGGGGTCCCAAATGTTCGCATTGGGGTCCCACTTGGGACCTCAAAAGTATACAAAGTTACACCCATGACTTTGATAAAGCATCCATGATGTTTAGTGCTGTCAACTGGGAGACTGAGCTTAAAGACAAGAATGCTCAGGAAGCTTGGGATATCTTTTTGAAGCACTATGAACATGTTATACAGGAAAGTGTCCCTCTCTCCCTGAACAATCCCAACAGCAACAGGAAAAAGAAATGGATGACAAGAAGTGTAATGAAAGACATCCTTGACAAGGAAGAAGCCTGGAAAAGATACAGAAAGAAGAATAACCCAAAATGGTTTAGAATGTACAAAGAAAAAAGAAATAATGCAACCAAGAGTGTACGAGAGGCGAAATACCAGTATGAGCTGGCATTGTCCAGAGAGGTAAAACTGAATCCAAAGGCTTTCTACGCATATGCTCGAAATAAAACAACCGTAAAGGAACAAGTCACCACAGTCAAGGATGACCAAGGGTTTCTTTCAAACACACCTGAAGAGACCTGTGAAATAATGAATCAAAGTTTTGAGGTTTTTGTTAAGACTGACAATGTGCCTCCAGACTTCCCAGCTTTCAATGGGGATAAACTCTCATCCATCAGCATCACCAAAGCCGAGGTGCAAAAGCTACTCTCCGAACTCAAACCATCTGCACCTGGCCCTGACAGAATCCACCCAGTTTTACTCAAGAATTGTGCAACAAATGTCAGCAAGCCTCTGACAATGATTTTCCAGGAATCACTGAGTACAGGAAGCATCCCAAGTGACTGGAAAAAGGCAAATGTAACTCCGATATATAAGAAGGGCTGCCGTTCGGATCCACTCAACTACAGACCGATCAGCCTTACATCAGTAGTTTGCAAGGTTTTGGAGAGACTTGTGAAAGGCCACCTAGTTTCCCACTTGGAAAGTTTCAATTTCTTCTGTAAGGAGCAACATGGATTTCGGTCTGGCAAATCATGCACAACCCAGCTTCTGGAGTATCTGTATGAGGTTCAGAATGCTCTTGATGAAGGTGACGCAGTAGATGCCATCTACCTAGACTGCTGCAAAGCTTTTGACACAGTTCCACATAATCACCTAATAACGAAACCCAAGGCTGCAGGAATCGATGGCCCACTACTTCTCTGGATAAAGTCATTCTTAACAGACCGAGAGCAGAGAGTGACCATAAGAGGAAGTTTCTCAAGCTGGAGAAAAGTCTGGAGTGGTGTTCCACAGGGCAGCGTATTGGGGCCAATCCTCTTCCTTGTCTACATTAACCCGCGCGGGGCTGGGGGGGGGGGGTAAATTTTACCCCCCCTCGCGAATTTTTGCGATATCTCAAAAACGGCGGCGCGCAGCGCCGCCAAACTTTCAGTACCTTTTCTTACATCAATTTGACACGTTCCCTGAAAATTTGAGCGAAATCGGTCGGAAATTTTTTGAGAAATTGACGTTTTAGTGACGTCATGTTCGCCATTTTCGCCTAAAAAACGGCAAAAGTTCAAACGCCGCTAACATCTTCATTTTTAAAGGAATCAAGACGTAACAAAAAGGTTATACGTAATTTTACTTTGTCTATCAAATGGCTATCTCGGTTTTTTGAAAATTTTGGATTTTGGCCTAATTTTTTTCAAAAAACTGGCTTTTTTGGGAAAATCATTATAAAATCCAAAATTTTGAGTCTATCGAAAAAACCGGAATGTATGTCAGAGAAGTGGTCTATGTGCACCTACATACCAAATTTTAGAAGAATCGGTTCAAAAATGTGGGAGTTATTCAAAATTTTATGACGTCACGACACACAAAATTTTTGAAAAATGCCTTTTTTGGAAGTTCTAGACCTCGTACGGAAACCAAAATAGCACCATTCGATTCGCCGTGAAAAACTGCATCAGATAGACACCTTTTTAGGCCTTAAAAACCAACTTCAAAATTTGACCTCACTTGACCTGACCTTGACCTGACCTCGACCTGAAATTCATCCAGAGGTGGTCCATATCACTTATTGAGTGTGCCTTTTGAAGTATATGAGTAAAATGACCCATAAAACATGTGTCGCACATGCCCTTTTCTATATTTTGTTTTTTGGTGACCTGACCTGACCTGACCTGACCTGACCTTGACCTTGACCTCTGAATGATATTGTATGCAACGAATATTGTCTTGGTAGCCTAAGAACACGTTTTGGGCGATCAGTCTCAGTCCATGACTCCATTCTTCGGCAACTACGGTGCAAGGCCGATACTGTAGAAACTTGCAATTTGTACCCTTGACCTGACCTTGACCTTGACCTCAAAATTTAAATTAAGTACATGTTTTTAGTAGTTCGTGATGAGAGCTTTCGATTGGCGTTTGAATTTTCCAAATCGGACCATTAGTTCGGGAGATAACAGGGGGGGTAAAATTTACCCCCCCCCCCAGCCCCGCGCGTTCGGCTGGAGACCCCAGCCCCGCGCGGGTTAATGACCTGCTTGATGAAGTTCACTCAGAGGGCAAGCTCTTCGCAGATGATGCCAAGATTTACAGGCGTATGAGAGGCAATGAGGATCAGCAGCAACTCCAAGCAGACATGGATAAACTACAAGAGTGGAGCAACAGGTGGTTACTCAAGTTCAATCAGGATAAATGCAAGGTCATGAACTTCGGTAGCAGAAATCCCAACTGCAGCTACAGCATGGGAGGAGTTCAACTGGCCCACTCTGAACAAGAAAAGGACCTTGGAGTTCTGATTTCAACAGATCTCAAGCCCTCAGCACAAGTTGCCAAAGCTGCGTCCTCAGCAAACTCCATGTTGGGCCGTATAAGGAGTACTTTCACATGCCTCAATGACAAGATCCTTCCACCACTAACGCCAGTTATACAAGGCGCTGGTTCGACCCAGGATGGAGTTTGCGATCCAGACATGGTCACCCTATCTCAAAAAAGACATTCAAAAGCTCGAAAAGGTGCAGAGGAGAGCGACAAAGCTGGTTCCCTCACTTAGAAATTTACCATATGAAGACCGACTGAGTGCTCTTGGGCTGACAACGTAAGAGCAGCGAAGAACGCGCGGAGATATGCTTCAAACTTTCAAGATCCTGAAAGGTCTGGACAGAGTTGAGGTTGACAGCACATTCCTCAAGCTGGATGACAGGTACCTGGGAACTAGAGGACACCAGATGAAGCTCGTCAAACCAAGACATCGAACACTAAAGCGCAACAAGTTCTTTTCAGCAAGAGTGGTCGACATGTGGAACGGTTTACCAGAACATGTGGTATCCAGCGACAACATCAACCAGTTCAAGAGAAGATATGACCAACATGTCGCAGAACAAATGACGAGAGGGGGTAGCCACTACGAGCATCCTTAGTTTGCTCCCTTACCCCCGTATCCTATCTCTTCGGTAAGCATCTCTTCGGTAAGCAACGGAGTGTCCCCACGCAGAATGCACTAATCTATCCAGCCACCCAGGTGGTCATTCTTGGCCCCTTGGATTTGCTCTCTAGCTGCGCGTGTCTATGGCGTCGAGTGACCACCCGTTCGGACAAATAGTCTGAAAAAGAGGATGCGGATGGGCGGGGCCTGAGAACTGAGAAAACGGATGTCGGAACATCAAACTGAAGCAGTATCAAAAGGTCCGGGTTGAATCGAAGCCCGAACGTGATGAAGACCTTCAACCCTTTCGGTACCATGTGATCGTGACAATCCGACAAGAGAAGTAGGCGCCGACCTCCCTCAGCCGACGAGGGTTACGCCAAACCTCAAACACCACATGCTCCGCGACATGTGTGTAATGTTGTCCATGACTGTCAATTTCGCCGTCCTGTCCCCCGCCCGCCTCTCACAGTAATTTGTGCGCCCTGCCGCCGAGCGCTGGCCGACGGGGCCGGGGGGGGGGGGGGTGCCGGAGGGGGGGGGGCGGATGGAGGGGGCGGGGCGGACGGACGGACGGGGACGGGCGAGCGGCGGCTTCAGTCAGCTACCGGCGGTGTCGGCAGCAGCCGCGGACCCCGTGGCGGAGGAACGCGCTCCACACGTGGACAGTGTCGCCGGCACGTAATTCACTCCGAGCCGTCACCCGGTGGGGTGTGACGTCACCCGGTCACGTGCCCCGGACGGTGACGTCACTGTGTCGCGTTTAAAGGCGGCGTGTGCCCGATTTGGCGCCATTGAGCGCAGTGGAGATGGCGGCGGGACGCGCGCTGGTAGCGATGGTTCCCGCGGTGCTGGCCGGGGTCCTGCTCTCAACTCTGGGTGAGTAGCTCGGACGGGGTCACTTCCGGCCCCCGGCGGGGTAAGCTGGCCACAGCTGGTGCCGACTGGCCCGGTGGGTCGGGTCGAATATCGGGACGACCTGGCGGTCGGGTCAAATGACGGGATACTGGGCACTGGGCAGTGTCGGGTCAAATGTATGAGCGACGCGCTGGGGCGGGTCAAGTATAGGGACAACGGGGATGCGGCTGTTGGGTAATGGCTTAATCACAATACTAGGCCTCGTTTCATAAAGCGAGTCCGTAACTTGGCGGTTTTCGATCTTGAATTGCAAGCGCATGTGAAGCGATGACGATAGTTTGAATCGTTGAATTTATTTATCTTGCAAGCAAGAACAGAAGGGAGAAGGGGAAATAAATTTATCCCTTCACGTGCGCTTGCAATACAAGCCCAAAAACCGGCGTCAGTTACAGACTCGCTTTATGAAACGAGGCCCTGCAGGTCAGTTATTTGTCGAACCGTGGTTAGTAGATTTGTTGCAACCATGTTTGATGGATTGGTCATATAGATTGATAGCTTTACCATGGTTAAACCATGATAGATAATTCGTCAAACAAGCCGACCATAGTTTTGCCCGAAGGTGTGCAACGAATCGAGAATTGGCTCAAGTGCAGGGTCTCATTTTTCGGTTGATGCAATATTATCACTTTGGGTCGAGCTTGCAGTGTTGATTGCAAATGCTCTGATGGTTAATTACATAGCTTCATAGAAACCTTTTGCCTAAAAAGCAAGCTGCAAAGTGTACTCGCTTTTTTACACAACTTAATGGCATAAAATTGCCTATCGTTTTCCATGCAAATCCGTTTACTTGTCATGAAAGACATCGTCTGTCTCGGTGAGTCATGTCTTCTTTCAAGGAAAACACAGCGGCATGAACTAAAGCTCATACGATTTGACTAGACATTAATCTATCATGTATCTCTCGTCAGATATTATCTGTAGCGTGCGGAGATACTTACATACATTATTTGGGTCACAAAAAGCGTTTTATCTCAAAATCCTTAGGACGGTGTCCGTTGTTACGAAGGCCCAACCCTTTCCTACATTTTGACATTGACTCAGCACATGTCACCTGACCCACCTCGGCCTTAGGCTGTTCGGAAATGATTACGTAACTTCATCAGCCTTTGGTCTGTATGTGGAGCACCGTAAGGTAGGTCCCTCCCTTCCGGTGGTCTTTACACATGTCCGACATCCGATACCACTGCAGACTCAGCATACTGATACTGGGGAGTCTGGGATACAACCGTCAACATACAGTTGGGGCAACACCCATCGTCCCAGCAGGGCTTAATGTGATATTGGAACATGCGACGATTCTGTCCAAACTGTGAACCCGGGTGGAATGAACTGACGTGATCCCATTTATGCATGTATGCCTTAGGCAGCTTCTTTCGTTGGAAAAGGGCTCATTTTTTCCTGGTGCCAATGACTGCTCTTAGGTATGTTGTTATATGGTATACGGCATACGCTATTTATAAGCTACTTGTCTCGTGTTAACTACTGGGATAGACGTCATCTGAGGACTATAGAAATCCACATTACCTAATATTAGCGATTCTTTGAGGTGTGAAACGATTGTGCGAGTTCCAAAAGTGAATATGAAGAAATGCAAGTTTTCAGTCAATGTGAGGGACATTGATAGGTAGTTTTGACGATAATTGTACTCCATGGCACTTGCACACGGATAACTTAGATACTACCGATGCTTCCCTCCGCAGACACTGTTCGGCTGCTGCAATGTAAACAAACAATTAACCCTCGCATGTGTAGGGGGGAGGGTCGGATGGCCCCCCCCCCCATGGTTTTTCGCGAATAACTCGGGTAAAAAGCGACCGATCGCGACGAAACTTTTAGTACCCTCGAGTTGATCAATTTTACACCTACTCTGAAACTTTCATGACCCTGACCCAAGTGACCTTTGACCTGTGACCTATTTCTCGAATCCATGTTTGGCCGGAATCGCGATTCGGCGTATGTCGGCTCACATAAGTCGCGCGTTTGCAAGCTTCTCGTGGTTTTAAACGTTTAAACATGTGATTTGATGTTGCTCCCATGCATTTGGGTGGATGTCAAGGTCACCTGAAGGTCAGGTCAGGTCATTGACCTTTGGTGACCTCGGTTTACTTTTTCGAGCTATACATGTTTCTAGGCTAGTTTCTGGAGCTGAATTCGAATTTAGAAACTATTTGAACATTTACGAAGTAGTTTTGGTGCCTTCGTAACATGTTACGAAGCTGCCAGCAGGGTTGTGCTCGACTCAAAAAAATTTGCCGACTCGACTCATCATTCAATTTCAGAAAGCCCTGACTCAACTCTGACTCAAACAAGGAGCTGATTTTTCCCCTTGACTCGACTCATGACTCAAGTGGCTCAATGAAAATATGAGTCGACTCAAACTTGACTCAAGTTTTTTTTTAGTCAAGTGAGTTGACTCAAAATTGACTCAAATAAAAAAGTTGTTGAGCGGGGGGGGGGGGGTGAAAAAAAAAATCCGGTAACAGGGCCAGGGCGAAGTTGCTGAGCGGGGGGGGGGGAATGAAAAGCTTGTTTCTAGAAAGTTGAGTCAGCTGACTCATGTTCCTTAACAAACAAAGTTCCTAACAGTTCCATGAGTCAAACATTAGTTCCTAAATGTTTGACTCAACTCAATGTCAAAAGTTATTTTACTGACTCAACTCTGACTCAACTCAACGCCTTAATATTTTTGTCCGACTCAACTCTGACTCAACTCAACAGCTCAACATTTTATTCGACTCGACTCAAATCTGACTCATTTGAGTCAGAGTTGAGTCAAATTTATGACTCGACTCATGAGTCAAGCACAACCCTGGCTGCCAGAGGCGGTTGACACGTACTACGAATACCCGTCACGACTCCTACCGTTTGACCTGACCTGACCTGACCCGACCTGGTCTAAATGCTTAAAGACATCATTTGTGATCAAAACTAACACGATGTTCGTGATCAGCACCCCGAAAACCCCTAGCAGCCACACTTTACGACTTTCTAACAGGTCCCGATTTGCCCGACTTTGGGTCATTGACCTGACCTGGAAGGTCAACCAATGACCTAGGGCCTTAAAATTGGGTATCATCAGCTTCCCCTCGTCACGGGCAACACGCTCGTTTTTTCCGCGAAGCTCTAGCTCAATCAGGGGCCAAACGGCAAGGGGGTCCCCCCTCCCCCCTACACATTAGAAGCTGGCAATCGCCGCACACATGCGAGGGTTAAGATGCCACTTATCACAAAAATATTCTCGATATTCTAAATGCTGATTTAATTTTCTAAACAACGCTTTTTTAGGAACGTCTGGAATGCCATTGAGCCTGAACTGCTTCAGCGGGGTGTCTCGCTCGCTGAATGGAACCAGTTGACCTTGAGTGACCCCACTGAACCCGGTGCGACGTCGCTGGTTTTGCTGTGTCGCGTCTGATTGGTAAAGTGAGACCTTCTCTATCAATTCAGTCATATTGTGGTAACAACCAGCGCGTATGATCCCAATGATAGGTTCAAGGAAGATTGATGTATATTTGAAGTGTTTCTTGGTTCCAAAACCCACCTAGGTATCTGGCGGTGAGGTATGGGATGTGAAACAGCTCATTAATAGTAAGTGGCTTCCACTCGTAGTCACGTGTCTAGCCACGTGCCTTTGCTGTACAAAGATCACGTTCTTTCCACGTGCTGTTTCCAAAGTCGCGACGGACTAGTTCAAGATGGCCGAATACACCGACAAAACATGTTTTTTTGTATAATAGAAGTCCAGGCACGGTCCGACTCCGATAGAAGGGACACGGCCGTTTGTTTTTGGTACGACCCTGACCTTCCGGTCAGATATGGTCGGACCGGCGCGAGGAGCGCGGTGGTTTAGACCAGTTACTATACCGGTTTCACGTTATACCTATAGCCCGACAAGTCCAATTCCGTATATTCTTGTAGGTGTAGACGTATATGCGGTATGAATCAGAAATGTGTGGAAGGTACTATTCAACTTGATGGGATTTGAAAATCATCTTGTGAGTCTCTAGAAGCTTGCAGTTTACATTGCATGATTTACATTGATTCTAACGGTCAGATATGTTTGCTTGATAGACTTTCCTAATGTATCCTTTGAAGAAAACATCAACTATGATGCCATCACTTTTAACTTCCGAATTCAATAGGTCAGGTGGTACATGACCGAATCCCAAATTGATACAACCTCGCCTTCACGTGCTACTCATTCCGCTTTAGTTTACGGTGGAGATCACAGATCAAACCGATCTTTTTTGTCCAGATTCTTTCTATTGGATTATTATTGTTTATCCGGATTAGAGACCACTGGATAATATCCAGCAGCTGCCGGGTACGACTGGTTACGTAACCAAAGCCGCCGCGGTTGGAAGTGGAAGCGGCACAACATACGGCGATGGGTGAGCGAGCGCCTGCCATGCATACTCGTGGGATAACTCCCGAATCAGCCGGCGGCTGGGGGTGGTGGCAATTCGGTCAGGGCTGGTTCCCGGTGACCCGGTAGCTGCCTCTTTATGATGGCCCGCAGACAATATATACAGGTTTTGAGCACATTTCCGCAATGATTCCACTGCTGTTCCGGTATAGTGGCATTATTGTTAAATGTCAAGGATCTTCTTGAAATATTGAAAAGGTGAAACACGTCATGTATAGTTGTTAGCAAGACAATACAAAAAGCTGTCAGATAATTTAACCGCGAAAATTGGCGATTATGTTAGAAAATTAAGGATATGTTAGTCTTCATACAAACACCACTCGGATTCTGTTTCACCAGTGCTCCACTCCAAAGACAATGGCATTATCCTGGCAGCGTCTAAGGTGACCATAAATGTTACGATGCGCTGCATTTTATGAAATGCATGCGCCACATTTTCCTCGACGATCAGCTGTCCCAGTTTGCGCGTGCCTGTGGTTAACCACATTATTTTTATTAGGACGGTGTTTCCTCGTGGTAGCGCTTCATATACGGG